TAATGCAATTATTGAAATTGTTTGCGAAGACGTTCTCGCCATTTAAATCATTAACCTCCATATTTGTTTTTGTATGAATGATTCATTTCATTATATACAGCACCAATAATCAGAAATATATATTTTAGTATATAATATATATTATATATATATATATATTTGGGATATATATATATTAAATTAAATATTTAAATCATTAACCTCCATATTTTCTTTTTTATGAATTATGTACGTTATTTAATTATTCGGAAAATTGTCCTCATCTTTTGTTGCCATATTTATTATAACGTTTCGGCCTTTATATATATATATTTCTGATATATATATATATATTCAGATATATATATTTATATATATAATCTGTCTATATTACTAAAACAAAAAACTCCTCATCTTTGTCACCATATTTATTATCAACGTTTCGAAGTATCTGTCTATATTTCTGAGATGAGGTATTATGTACATTATTTACATTATTCGGACAATTGTCCTCATCTTTGTCGCCATATTTATTATAACGTTTCCGCCTTTCAGTATCTGTCTATATTTCTGAGATGAGGTATTATGTACACTATTTACATTATTCGGACTATTGTCCTCATCTTTGTCGCCATATTTATTACAACGTTTCGGCCTTTCAGTATCTGTCTATATTTCTGAGATGAGGTATAATGTACACTATTTACATTATTCGGACTATTGTCCTCATCTTTGTCGCCATATTTATTACAACGTTTCGGCCCTTCAGTATCTGTCTATATTTCTGAGATGAGGTATTATATACACTATTTACATTATTCGAACTATTGTCTTCATCTTTGTCGCCCTATTTATTACAACGTTTCGGCCTTTCAGTATCTGTCTATATTTCTGAGATGAGGTATTATGTACACTATTTACATTATTCGGACTATTGTCCTCATCTTTGTCGCCCCTATTTATTACAACAACGTTTCGGCCCTTCAGTATCTGTCTATATTTCTGAGATGAGGTATAATGTACACTATTTACATTATTCGGACTATTGTCCTCATCTTTGTCGCCCTATTTATTACAACGTTTCGGCCCTTCAGTATCTGTCTATATTTCTGAGATGAAGTATTATGTACACTATTTACATTATTCGGACTATTGTCCTCATCTTTGTCGCCCATTTATTACAACGTTTCGGCCTTTCAGTATCTGTCTATATTTCTGAGATGAGGTATTATGTACACTATTTACATTATTCGGACTATTGTCCTCATCTTTGTCGCCATATTTATTACAACGTTTCGGCCTTTCAGTATCTGTCTATATTTCTGAGATGAGGTATTATGTATACTATTTACATTATTCAGACTATTGTCCTCATCTTTGTCGCCATATTTATTACAACGTTTCGGCCTTTCAGTATCTGTCTATATTTCTGAGTTGAAGTATTATGTACACTATTTACATTATTCGGACTATTGTCCTCATTTTTGTCGCCATATTTATTACAACGTTTCGGCCTTTCAGTATCTGTCTATATTTCTGAGATGAGGTATTATGTACACTATTTACATTATTTCGGACTATTGTCCTCATCTTTTTCGCCATATTTATTACAACGTTTCGGCCCTTCAGTATCTGTCTATATTTCTGAAATGAGGTATTATGTACATTTATTTACATTATTCGGACTTTGTCCTCATCTTTGTCAACGCCATATCTATTACAACGAAGTTTCGGGACTTTTGTCAGTATTTTGAACGTCTATATTTTGAGATGAGGTCTGAGATGAGGTATTATGTACACTATTTACATTATTCGGACTATTGTCCTCATCTTTTGTCGCCATATTTATTACAACGTTTCGGCCTTTCAGTATCTGTCTATATTTCTGAGATGAGGTATTATATTTATTATTCAGACTATTTACATTATTCAGACTATTGTCCTCATCTTTGTCGCCATATTTATTACAACGTTTCGGCCTATTCAGTATCTGTCTATATTTCTGAGATGAGGTATTATGTACATTATTTACATTATTCGACTATTGTCCCTCATCTTTGTCGCCATATTTATTACAACGTTTCGGCCCTTCAGTATCTGTCTATTTATTTATTATTCAGATGAGTCGCCATATGTACACTTTCAGTATTTACATTATTCGGACGGACTATTGTCCTCATCTTTGTCGCCATATTTATTACAACGTTTCGGCCTTTCAGTATCTGTCTATATTTCTGAGATGAGGTATTATGTACATTATTTACATTATTCGGACTATTGTCCTCATCTTTGTCGCCATATTTATTACAACGTTTCGGCCTTTCAGTATCTGTCTATATTTCTGAGATGAGGTATTATGTACACTATTTACATTATTCGGACTATTGTCCTCATCTTTGTTAGCCATATTTATCACAACGTGAAGATTGAGAGCTGTTTTTTTTTAGCATTCATGAAATAACAGTTATTAGCGATAGAATTTTAACTGTTTGATATTCTTTGAATGGATAGTAATAATAATAATAATATATATATATATATATATATATATATATATATATATATATATATATATATATATATATATATATAGAGAGAGAGAGAGAGAGAGAGAGAGAGAGAGCTGCTTTTTTAGTGTTCTCATGAAATAAAAATTATTGCCTATAGGATGTTAAGCATTTGATATTATTTAATAATAATTTTCTGTATCTTTTGACATACCTAATATCGTCCTGGAAATTCCATACGGATTACCATATTGTATCATATATATATATATATATATATATATATATATATATATATATATATATATATATATATATATATATATGCATGAGTGTGTGAGGGTTTGATGGTAAATAGGATAAACATGTAACATATATGTGTGTGTGAGTGTGTGTATATATATATATATATATATATATATATACGTGTGTGTGTTTTTGTGTCTCTGAGTAAAAATTTATATGAAGCAAATATACAGATTTTGATACACATAGTAGCTTAAAAGCCCCCCTCTGTAGAGGGACATTGTTCAGGCCTTTTATCAAAATACGTAGAGAAGAGTTGATGCGATAATTACCAATAAACAGCAGAAGAAATCTGTTGATCTTTACTTTCTGTACAAAAGAAGATGGATTTCGTAATTCCGAGTATTCCTAGATTTATTTTAGAAAATGTATAGTTATGAGTCGGCAGCTCTCAACAGAAGTAAATCATCTCGATATAATGTTAAAGGATCCTTGAATTTTTGTAGTAAAATTATTTCCAAATGTATTTTTATAGTAAAATCATTTCCCATTGCATTTTTATAATAAAATCATTTCCCATTGCATTTTTATAATAAAATCATTTCCCATTGCATTTTTATAATAAAATCATTTCCCAATGCATTTTTATAATAAAATCATTTCCCAATGCATTTTATAAATAAAAAGTTGATCCCATTGCATTTTTATAGTAAAATCATTTCCCATTGCATTTTTATAGTAAAATCATTTTTATAATAAAATCATTTTATATTAATAATCAAATTCCAATTGCATTTTTTTTGGAATAAAATCATTTCCCAATGCATTTTTATAATAAAAAAAATTTCCCAATGCATTTTTATAATAAAATCATTTCCCAATGCATTTTTATAATAAAATCATTTCCCATTGCATTTTTATAGTAAAATCATTTCCCAATGCATTTTTATAGTAAAATCATTTCCCAATGAATTTTTACAGTAAAATCATTTCCCAATGAATTTTTGTAGTAAAATCATTTCCAAATGCATTTTTATATTAAAATCATTTCCCAATGAAGTTTTGTAGTAAAATCATTTCCCAATGAATTTTTATAGTAAAATCATTTCCCATTGCATTTTTATAGTAAAATCATTTCCCAATGAATTTTTATACTAAAATCATTTCCCAGTGCATTTTCATAGTAAAATTATTTCCAAATGTATTTTTATAGTAAAATCATTTCCCATTGCATTTTTATAGTAAAATCATTTCCCAATGAATTTTTATAATAAAATCATTTCCCAATGCATTTTTATAATAAAATCATTTCCCAATGCATTTTTATAGTAAAATCATTTCCCAATGAATTTTTATAGTAAAATCATTTCCCATTGCATTTTTATAGTAAAATCATTTCCCAATGCATTTTTATCGTAAAACCATTTCCCAATGCATTTTTATTCTTGAAGTCTTTATCATTGTCTTTACATTTCAATTTCATTTCCTAGTGTATTTTACTTTTAAAAATCAATCCCTTCATTGTAAATTATTCCCATATGACATGCTATTTCTTAACATTTGAAATCCTGATCCACTTGTTTTCTCTGTGAATTTTAATTCACCAATTATATTTTAACAAAACCTGTCCGCAAATTCCTTGCCAATTATGTCAATGATTTGTCTAAGTAGGAAAACCGACTCGCCTGACGGGAATGATGTGTTCCTTTTGCTCGATTTCTTCGAATTGCATGGCACTTAACTGATTCCCAACATTTCCTACCCCCCCACTTCCCAGAAACTGACGCCAGACCACGTTAGGCCAAATAGATGTGGGTCGTCTGCACGTCTCGTCCAATCGATGCCAGAAACCTCGATTAGACATGATCTGAATTTGTAAAAATATTCAAAAGTAATTCTAAAATGAGAGAGCGAGCGAGGGAAAGACAGAGAGAGAGAGAGAGAGAGAGAGAGAGAGACTGTACTGCACGAAAGAGACTTGAGATCCTCTTAGACATTCTCAGCGGAGTTGGGGGATGTTCCAAGTTTCTGAGATGATATCTGTAACTGCAGGATATCTACCAACCTCCCCACGTGGTCAGATGTGGCACAAGGCCGAATTTAATGTAGGCATTCCAATCCTTAAACTCGGCCAAAAGTTTGTAATTTGTCCTGACTATGAAAATGTATTACTGGTATTTTTACTATATTTTTTTATACTTTCATAGTATTTCAACCCAAATTTGGAAGTTAACTATTTGCCTCTATTTGGGACCCTAACAGGTACTACCACCGCGGGTCAAGTCGGAACTACGAACAACCGCAAACTTTATCGCCATATTAACAATGTTTCAGCCGTTGTACGCTTCGATATTCTTCAGGTTATAATTGCTAGAATTTAGTGCCGGATCCTTTATTTAATCTCCAGAGGTAGATTGTTCAAGTTTAATGGTTTAAATTAAAAAAAAATGTGGGAGTAACTATTTTTTTCCAAAAAAAACCCTAACATATATATATATATATATATATATATATATATATATATATATATATATATATATATATATATATATATATATATAAAATCTTATAAGTATAAGAAACTATACTCGCTCAGAAAACCTTCGTTGTATTGATTTGCAAATAAACAAGCCAACACCAAAGGGAAAAATGTTATAAAAAAAGAAAGAACCACGAAGATGTGCGTTAACCGAAAATAATCGTCCAGCATACGAGTTCAAAGGCCCAAAATAAAAAAACTGATGCGACTACCCAACAAATAAGATAAATAAAGTGCTTTATACAATAAGTAGAATCCAATGCAGACCTCGTTAAACCTAGAGAGCCAGACAAACCTACCAAGGTTTCACCTAAGCGGATCGTCAGGGAGTGCTACCTTCCCTAACGATCCGCTTAGGTAAAACTTTAAGGGTTGTCAAAGAAAGGTTTAACAATATATATATATATATATATATATATATATATATATATATATATATATATATATATATATTCCATTTGTCCATCATTGAATATACCTGTCATGTCTTGTCTGATGCTTCTGCTATGTATTTAGAGATTCGTTTTAAAAAAATCCGAAGAATCTGCAATCTTATTGGAACTGATCTGGCATCTTGTTTTCAATAGTTTCTCACTGCTGTATCGTAGTGAAACTAAGACTTTTCATAAAATATTTTCTCAGTAATTTTTCTGAATAACTTTCCTCTTTGGTAACTAGATTTTATGAATTTAAACGCAGTACTACATTGGCGGTTAGGTCTCATAATTTAACCGTTGAAATTGTTCGATACAACTGTGCGGTCTTTTCTGGCTTCTGGCTTTCTAGTCAACTAGAATCTTTAAAAATTTAATACTGTGTTAATGATGAGCTTTCGTCGTTGATACGTAAAGTTCATGAATTTAAGCACAAGACTAGATTGACGACAATGTCTCATCATTTTACAGTTGAAATAGCAAGATGTAACCGTAGGTTCTATGCTTACAGTTTCTTCTATCGCACTTCTCAATTATTGAACTTTCTTCCGGGTTCTTGGTTTCCATTCAACTTTGACTTTCAATAATCTAAATGCAATGTCTATCATCTATAGTGTATTAAAATTCCTGTTCCTTTATCGTTGTCTCCCTTTAACAATGATATATATATATATATATATATATATATATATATATATATATATATATATATATATATATATATTTATTTAAAAATATGATTCCAACACGCTACATCAGAGTTCTCATGTTTCAAAACAAGAGCCGAAAACTTCAATATTATTATTTGAATTAAATTGAATTAAATTACTAAGCTCTGTTCCATCTTCAAGAGAAATTATTTTGGGAATACCTTATTTCTGAAATTTACGTGTTTTATAAGCATATTCATTATTAAAATCAAAATTTCTATGGTAACGGCTAGAACAATTGTTTAAAGCAAAGGGGGCGTAAGGGTTAATAATTTGTATCAATGTCTCAGTTACATTCACAGATGTCAAGTCAGGGTAAGGTAGGGGTGTCTAAATTTAAAGCGGAAGATGATATCGTCTTGTCTGGTTAAGTGTCTATGGAAATTTATTTATTTTTTTATTTTATTTTTTATTTTATTCTGAAAGGGTTTTGTGTATATAAAAACTGTCGTAAATCGCTAACATTTGTTTTTTGACGACTTCATAAAGGATTATCTTTTTTGTAGGGCATTTAAACTATTTATTAGGACGATGGATTTTAAAAATTATTTTATTGCTTGTTTGTTTTTATGCTAATTATTCAATACAAAAATTTGATGTTGTCGGCAAAAACTCATGTCTATTGTTTAATAGATTTTCATTATTTAGAAACTTAATAATGTGTAGCTTTTCATGTAGGCATAAAAGGCATGGGTGATCCCAAGTTATACAAGTTCTAGTTTTGTTTATAATTTTCCATTTTACTTTATATTCTGTCTTCTTAATTCCTGTGTTTCTCCTTAAAAGTGCGTTCATTTTCTCATTTTCTTAAACAGTAACCTCTTGAATCTTAGTATCTTTATTGCTTTGGTTGGGGTGAAATGATTAGGTGCGACAGAAGTGGATAGCAGGTGAGCCGGAATGATTGAAAAACAATGAAAGATTTATAAATTAAAGTCATGTGCCAAAAATAAAAATAAAAAAATTTCAAGATTTAAAATATTATTTTGGATTACATGCATGAGTCCCGGTATAAATAATAATAAATAATTATTGACCGATTTTATCATAGTGATATTTTTCCATTAGATCAAGTATTGAGAATATAGCAACTAGGGTCCGCAAATTTGAGCTGAGAGTTATCAATGATAATGTTCTGACTTCGAATCCATGTTTATCTCCCTTTAAACCTCACTCTGGACCTTCTTTACAGTAAGACTGCTTTCGCCTTTTCACCGGAACTTACCTTTGGTGAAGATGGACAACTTTTCATTCCGAAATTGCGGCCCTGATAAAAAACAATATTTCGGAACCACTGGATCATCTTTTATAAATTTCTTTATCGCACATATAAAATAATTCTCGTAAGAAAACTGAAATATAATTATGTTCAAAATGGCGTCTGTTTTTGTATAGAACTGTGTTTTTATTAGATATTTTGCCGAGTCAACAAATGTTCGAGAGAAATAATGCTGTAAACGTGCCTGCATATGGCTGCACACACACACACACACACACACATATATATATATATATATATATATATATATATATATATATATATATATATATATATGAAAGTTCACACATCGATCTAGCCAACTATATGGATAGAAATAATTAAATTTGACATTTCTGGATACATAAATCGACGGCTGTACCCTTGTTAATAGAATGGTGAAATAGAAGAAAAAAATAAAATGCTGAGTGCAAACGATAATAATTTCCTCTTTGTACGCATGCGTCGTTCTCTCTCTTGATAAGCCTACGCTCTCGCTTAAAGTAAACCGGTTGAAACCAGAGAAAGTCGTCAATAATGGTCGTTTTTTATTTTTTTTTTTATTTTTCAATGTACTTAATATCAGGAGAAATTTGATGAGGCGTGTGCAAATTTTAATTCCAAAACTGCTTGTGAGAGTTTAAAAAAAAGGTTGGGAACCTCTGTCCTGCTTAATAAGGTTGTTTTTCTCACATTTTGGCACACCTGCTGTGTCTTGGTGAGAAGACATTTTATTGCTACTTGGGGGAACCCTCTCCCTAGAAGAAACTAACCCTATCACTGCAACATTAACTACTTCACATCTAGGGTCGACCGTTGTCTATACTGCATATCCTTATAATCTAAATGATTTTGCCGACCGTATCATTAAAATCTTAACCTCTTCAAATCTAGGGGAAACTGTTGTCTATCTTACATATGTTCATAATATAAATGATTCCTCCTCTCGGGTTATTAGAATCCTAACCTCTTCAAATATGGATCAACTTTTGTCCATCCTACATATCCTATACGATTTCTCCTCCCTGGTCATTAAAATCTTAACCTCTTGAAATCTAGGATCAACTCTTTTTCTATTTTACATATCCTCATAATCTACAAGATTCCTCCTCCCGGATCATTACAATCGTAAACCTCTTCAAATATGGAGTCAACTGCTGTCTATCTTATATATTCTCATAATCTGCACCGTTTCTCAATTTGCGGCCTTGAAACAACATCAGTCAGTATCACTCTGCCTTGAGTGGCTCCTGAACCTTATTTTGTGTGAACATCACGTAAGAGAAAAAAATGTGATCGAGCGGCGATATATCAAGTATAATTCGTTATCTCTTCGCCATCGAGGCCCGTTGGTACAGTTGGTATGGCGTTTGCCTCCTATGATAACTGTTCGGGTTTCAATTCTCGCAAGTGGATGTGCACTGCTGATGAGTTCCAAATATAGAACGAAACGGACGTCCAGTGCTTTCTGCATTCTGCTTCTCAATTTGCGGTCTTGAAACAACATCATTCAGTATAGACTCTGCCTTGAGTGGCTCCTGAACCTCTCAGGATTAAACTTCCGGCCCTAATTGTTCAGGAAATGATGCATGTATGCACATTTTCTATCCAGTGTATGCTTTTATCTCGCCACACTCGAGTTTACAAGCAACCCCTGTGGTCTTGAAAAGTTAGCGTTCGGCCCTACACGAGGCAATTCACCCGCACATCTCGAGCTGAGAGTTAAATATCCACCTGCTTAATGACCAGTTTTCACGTCGTTACCTGATCCCGCTGGGAAATAAAATTACAAGGTTTCCAGGAACCAGCTCTCCAGGCGGGGTAAGTTGATAGCGGCTTGCGGTTGTGGATGTACAATCATTGACATAACCCTGACAAGTCCGGACAGGTCAATTTCAGTGTTCGGCCAATTAAGGCGAGTTGATTGTGACCCTGACATGAACGAGGAAAGCCTGCTATGGACGCGTACATAACCAGCTGAATAATGATGGGTACAAAATGTCGCGATTTTCGGAAAGAGCTTCGGATTTAGATTAATTGTCGCTTTAAATTATCGTGAACAGATAACGGCTATTTTCTCAATGTCAGGAACGAATGAAAATTAAAAAAAAGCCAAATTGATTCTACATTTCTTTGCGAATTATATATATATATATATATATATATATATATATATATATATATGTGAAAATATATAGAAAATAGGAAGGAACTGGTTAGGTAAATAATCCAAAGTCCCTTAGTATTTTAGTTATTATTTTTAAAAAATAGTGCTCGATACAAAAGTAGAGCATAAATATAATTATTTATTTAAAAATATGATTCCAAATCGCTACATAAGAGGTCTCATGTTTCAAAACTAGAGCCGAAAACTTCAATATAATCCTTTAAATTAAATTGAGTTGAAAGTAAAATGGGCTCCGTTCCATCCTCAAGCGAAATTTTTGTTGGAATAACGTATATCTGAAATTTACAAAATCCCCATGGTAACAGCTATGGTGAATTTTCTAAATTGGGTAGGCGAGTGTAGGGTGTTTATATTGAGTAGCGGTATAGAGATACTTTCAAGGTGTCAAGTCGGGGAAAGGTGGGGGTGTAAAAAATGAAACATATATATATATATAAAGAAAAAACAGTAAGATATATAATCCGTTGTTCTTATAGATATTTTTATTTTTACAAAATAGTGCTCAATGTAAATTTACAGAGTATTAATATTATAAATTAACTGATTTAAGATTTGTCTTTTTTTCGCTACACAGTTCTAACCATGTTTCAAAAATGGAAGCTAAAAGCTTCGAATTTAATTTTGTAATTAAATTAAAGACATTAGTTCCATTTCATCCTCAAGCGAATTTTCCATTTTTAAAACATGTTTAGAACTGTGTAGCGAAAAACCATATTTTAAATCAGTTAATTTATAACATATATACATATATATATATTTGCGTATTTGTGTATTTAGGCAGCAATCCTTCTTTCAAGTACATTTCATTGAATCCGACTGACAAGGTGCTTTTATGCAGTTTATTATACAATTACTCATGGGCTCTGTGGGTGTTGAATAAACATAAATACGTCTGAGCAAGAGTCTGCAATAGGGATTGGATAGCTGTCCTAGTACACAAGTATTGTCGAATACGAGTGGCCAGCTACATATAATTATACACACACAAACACATCTATCTATCTATCTATCTATCTATCTATCTATATCTATCTATATATATATATATATATATATATATATATAGTTGGATTGATGTTTGTCACTCTGTGTTTCACACTCGTTGCGATCGTCAAACAAAGTGTGTGAAATCCAGGGTCACAACCTCACATCAATCCAATTAAATATGTTAGCTCTATCACTGATATTGAGGGCTTTCCAATAAATACCACGCATATAATATATATATATAAAATATATAAGTAATATTTATAAAAATTGCATATATATATATATATATATATATATATATATATATATATATATATATATATATAAAATAGTGTCAGTTACAGTGGACTGGTCAGGTCTTGAGAAAGTCTGATGACAGGATACCCAATGTCCTAGAGTACAGCCAGTTATATCAGGGCTACTGAAATGTAGGACGCGCATGGCTTAGATACAAAGACAAGCTTGTGTGAATGTTGGTAATGGTCTTTAACGTCTGACTGCATTAGTTAAGACGGGAGTTCTAGAAGATTACATCTTGGCAGCAAGGAATGAGACGCACTCGCGCGCGAGAGAGAGTTTATACGTGTTTTGTTTTATATATGATCGTGAATCACGTGACTGGCTCAGATGGAAAACGCGGGAAAACAGATTTGTCGCGTGCAGGCGATTTGATTGGTCGGAACTGATCAATCAGCGAGCTAGATTGAAGGTGATTAACTAATCAATGTTTGTTGTATATTCACTTACAGGGAGTAGTTTATTTATCGACGCAGGGGTGACTGGCTGACGTGGAAGATTCCACAAGGTACCTTGAAGTACCTGAACGTAGGCTAATACCTCTACCAGATATATGCGTTGGACAATTGGACTCTTCAAGGGTATAAAAGAACAGAGGTACCTTTAAGTTGCCGAGCATAGGCTAATACTTCTACTAGACGTCTGTGTTGACAACTGGACTCATTACACGCTCAGAAGCGCATAAAATGTATGAAGATCGACTTAGAACAGAGGTACTTTGAAATACCAACGGTACCCCACGTAGGAGTTGATACTTGGAATTGTTTCAGGCTCAGAAAGGGCCTCTAATTAATCAAGACCGACTAAGAAAAGATAAAGTGAAGTACACGAGCGTAGGATAACACCCCTGCCAGACGTTGAAGTTGGCATTTGCACTTGTTTCAAGCTCAAAGTGGACATAAAACGAATCAATATCGACGTTTAAACTCATCTGTAGTTTTGACGTCTTTATTCGTCTATGTCTGAAAAAGGAAACTTTCGATAAAAACGTATATACACGTCAATGCCAGGGGAGGGTTTACGAAATGTTCATCTATAATGCAGGAAGTTAGCAGTTCTGAAAATTCTAAAACCTTGACATCTTTGCGAATCCAGATATTCGTGTGGGTATAAATATTTGCGGGAATGAATCATTGATTTAAGGTTTATATAAATAAAGAATGAATTTTCTCTTTAAATCTTTCTGTCGTTACCCCCCGGGGGCGCGCGTGAATCTATTGGGAATAGAGAAATGAAACTGCTTTAAGGTAGTTGACGTCTATATATATATATATATATATATATATATATATATAATTGATATTATAGTTTATGCAAAGGGTGAGTAGAGGTGGCTTGGTAGGAAGGATTTGAAAGGTGTTGAGGGAGGTTGGGAAAAGAACAGATAATGAAAACATGGAAAGGAAGAAAGAAAAAGATAAATGAACGAAGAAAGAAAAATGGCTGAAAGGAAGGAAAAGAAGGTAACAGGTCGAATGGAACAGAAAAAAGGGGGTAAAAAGAGCGATGAGAAGTAGAAGGAAAAAAAAAAAAAAAGAAGGAATAAATAAATATATTTTGAAGTGAAACCTTAAAAAAGAAAAGAAGAAAAAGAGACAAGAAAAAAAATGAGAGGAAAAGAACGGAAGGAAACTGTGCTTACAGAAAGAATTATTTAAATAAGAAAGATGTTTTGAAAGAAAGAAAGAAAGAAAGAAAGAAAGAAAGAAAGAAAGAAAGAAAGAGGCCTGATTTGAGAGGAAGTTTTTAAGAAAGAGAGTAGCCCTTAAAGGTAACTTTAAAGAAGAAATATATAAATCAGTAAATAAATAAAGAAAGAAAGAAAAAAAAAAGAGAGTTGCTTTGAAAGGAAACTTTAAGGAAGAAATAAAATAAATAAATAAATAAATAAAAAAATAAATAAATAAATAAATAAATAAAAAAAGAAAGAAAGAGGAGAATTAACAATGAAGAAAGGACGGCTGGAAAGAAAGAATGAAGAAAAGACAGAAGGATAAAAAGATGAAAGGAATGAAGAAAGAAAGAGCGAAAGAAAGAAAAGGACAACGAATGGACGAAGAAAAACGCCTAGAAAGAAAGAAAGAAAAAAAGAAAGAAAGAAAGAAAGAAAGAGGCCTGCTTTGAGAAACAAAGAAAGATAGAAAGAAAGAGGAGGATAACCAATAAACGAAGAAAAATGCTTGGGAGAAAGAAAGAAAGAAAGAAGGAAAGAAAGAAAGAAAGAAAGAAAGATAGAAGGAAAGAAAGAAAGAAAGAAAAGGAAAGAAAGAAAGAGAGACGCCGTGAAAGGTAACTTTAAAGAAGAAATATATAAATAAATAAATAAAAAATAAATAAACAAATAAATAAATAAATAAATAAAGAAAGAAAGAAAGAAAGAAAGAAAAACGAGAGTTGCTTTGAAAGGCAACTTTAAGAAATAAATAAATAAATAAATAAATAAATAAAGAAAGAAAGAAAGAAAGAAAGAAAAAAGAAAGAAAGAAAGAAAGAGGAGGAGAATTAACAGTGAAGAAATGACGTCTGGGAAGAAAGAATGAAGGAAAGACAAAAAGAAAGAAAGATGAAAGGAATGTAGAAACAAAGAAAGAAAGAGGAAAAAAAAGTGAAAGAAAGAAAAGGACAACGAATGGACGAAGAAAAACGCCTAGAAAGAAAGAAAGAAAGATAGATAGAAAGAAAGAAAGAAAGAAAGAAGGAAAGAGAGTAGCCTTGAAAGGTAACTTTAAAGAAGAAATATATAAATCAGTAAATAAATAAATAAATAAATAAATAAATAAAGAAAGAAAGAAAGAAAAGAAAGAAAGAAAAAAGAAAAAAGAGAGTCGCTTTGAAGGGAAACTTTAATGAAGAAATAAATAAATGAAGAAAGAAAGAAAGAATGAAAGAAAGAAAGAGAGTTCCTCTGAAAGGAAACTAAGGAGTAATAAATAAATAAATAGATAAAGAGAGAAAGAAAGAAAAAGGAGGAGAATTGACAGTGAAGAAAGGACGGCTGGTAAGAAAGAATTAAGGAAAGACAAAAAGAAAGAAAGATGAAAGGAATGAAGAAAGAAAGAAAGAAAGAGTGAAAGAAAGAAAGAAAGAAAGAAAGAGTGAAAGAAAGAAAGAAAGAAAGAAAGAAAGAAAGAAAGAAAGAAAGAGAGTTGCTTTGAAAGGACACTTTAAGGAAGAAATATATAAATAAATGAAGAAAGAAAGACAGAAAGAAAGAACGAAAGAGACTTTTAAAGAAGGAGAGAAAGAGAGTTGCTTTGAAAGGAAATTTTAAGGAAGAAATAAAAAAAGAAAGAAAACTGAATTGAAATAAATTCTAAGAAAGAAAGTTGCTTTGAAAGGAACCTTTAATAAAGGAATAAAGAAAGAATAAGACTAACGTAATTGAAAGAAAGAAAGAAAAAAGAAAGAAAGAAAGAAAGAAAGAAGGAAAGAAAAGTGAGAAGATAAAGAAAAAGAGCCTAGGAACAAAGAAACCAAAATGTCAAATGAAAAATAGAAAGAAAAGAAAAGGCTGGAAAGATGGAATTGTCATTCAATATAAGAATGAGAATATATGTACCAAATAAATTCAGGAAGTCACGTCTATGTCCGTGTTAATAAATCTTAATTTTGAAATGTGCGTCACTGCGTTTCAACTGAACCGTCGTCATTCAGCACCGCCATTTTAAAAAATGGCGTCACCCCGACTCCTCGAAAACGAGGCTTAAGAAAAGCAAGCCTCGGTCGTCATGGTTGATAAACTCTGACCAGGCGAGACAAAACTGAACGATTCATTTCGCTGACTTGACATGGAATGCTTCAACCCAGACTGATCTGGCTATTATTGGCGGTGTCGTGGTAAAAGAAAAGCATGTAATGGAAATTTGAAAATGACTGTTGACTTTGTGATGTTCTTTAAGGGGTAATTTGATTGCGGCCTGTCAGTGTGAATTTGAGTTTGGTGTTACGTGATGGCCAGGAAGTTGCTCTCAAAAACCATTTGTATAGAGGTCAGTCCTTACTGAGTTGTCCTTTACGTACGACCTTGTATTGTCATAAGATAAGCTTCATAAATGTCGTGGGCGTGACGATGAAGAATGGACAAGCTCGTCTGATCGGATGGTTCCTCGATTATCTTTTCAAACCTGTGGATTTATATAATAATAATATAATACTTGTATGATAGGTGTCAAATTGGACTTTTTATATCTGGGATTTTCTTCTATTCTTTTTATTAAATTACGTCTTTCATTTCCGTCTCTATTTCTGAGATGAGGTATTATGTACATTATTTACATTATTCGGACTATTGTCCTCATCTTTGTCGCCATATTTATCACAACGTTTCGGCCGTTGTACGCTCCGGCCTTCTTCAGGTGGTTGGAATGTCGAACTGAACCCTTCGCTCACTGGGGTAGACTGTTCTAGTTCCACGTGCCATGATGGATGGATGTCAGCTATCAGTTATCTCCTGTTAATTTTCACTCCCAATACTGCTCATATTGCAATTTTTTCTTATAATTGCATGTTTTTACCAGAGCTCATATTGCAACTTTGTTGTTATCATTGTTTTTCTCTGGCACTCCTTATTACTGGTTCCCATATTGTATTTATTTCTATGATTGGTCGGCTCAGGAGATTTTTACTCTTTCTTTCTTTCTTTCTTTCTTTCTTTCTTTCTTTCTTTCTCATCTGCGTTCCTTCGTTTGCCTTTTTTAATTTTAATTTCTTTCTTCCTATCTTCTCGAGAAAGACCTTTTTCAATACATCCCCCATTCTGCCAACTTTACCATAATGAAAATTATTCTTTCATTCTTTCTTTCTTTCACATCTACCCTCATTCTTTTCTGTTCTTCTTCTTAGTCTTTATTTATTATTATTATTTGTATTTTTTTTACCTGTATTTGTCACGTTTAATAAAGAAGAACCGACAAGGTTTATCTGTTTAATTATTTTATTTTATATTTCTAATTTTCGGCTAAGGTGGTAATAAACTGTCCGATGTTTACATGGCAACTTCTCTGACGAGTTACTTTCACTGGTACCCCAGCTGCATGAATTTAAGCCTGCTACTAGGTTGTCAAAACAGTGAAATGTAACTGCCTCTTCTTCTCCAACAGCTTCTTATCTCGCACTTCCCGACAGTGGAACTCCCTTCCTCTTATTTGCTCCCTGATAGCTATAATCTTGAAATATTCAAATGTAATGTCAATCAACATCTTCTGATGCCTTGATTCTTGATCACCGTCCTTCTCTATATCCTTTCCTCAAACACCCCCCTCTTTACTCTTACTCTGATTCTCTTGAGCCCCTTACGTGCTTGGAGTGAAACGCTTTAGAAAAACAACTTTTGACTTCCGCAGTCATTATCAAGGACTAATCTGATTTATGTGTATTGTCATCATCCTTGTATTCTTTCGGAAGATGGACGATTGGAATGGTCTAGTGTGACGTCATGTGTAGCGGCGATTGGGAACGAGGCTGCGCAAAAATGAATGCGATTTATTCATTTATTTTATTTATTTTTTATAATACTGATAAAAATATGTGCACACATTTAATTATATGCACTTTAAGATACCTTCTGTGGTGAATGATATTTTGTTCAATGTGGGCTTTTTATTTTGTATAATAATAGATTCTATAGTTACGAATGTTTCCTTTAATTTTGTTATCTATCACTACAATGTCATATGTTGATAGTTGAAATTTAATCGTTCATAATGTGCTTATAAATGTGGACATTGAGTTTCGACAGGTAGCAAGTCAATCTGCGATAGAGTGTAGTGAGAGTGTGCCCAATGTAAACATTTAATATCGTTTTTTGATTATTATTCTTGGAGATAAAATTCCAAACGGAATTAGAATTCTTCGACAATATTAATTTTGCATAAAGGGGATATATAAGGCCCAGTCTTTTTGGTAAGAATTAAGTTAGATTTTTTTTCTGTTGTCGATGATAAGTTTTCGGTGTTAGGATCATTGAGCTATATATAACGATGAATAATGTTTTTAATTGTGGTATATTCATGGTTCATCTGGTTGCGATAGAATAATGGTGTGTTTATTTTTGTTTGTGTCACTTTCTTTTATAAAAGCTTATATAGTTTTCTTTCCGTGTCTGCCATCATTGTACACGTCTTGTGTTAATAAGATTATGTTCGCCAATAATGAATCCTGTTTGGACTTCTACTTATTTCAGTATCGCCTGATTGTATAGGTTGAATATGTCCGGCGAGAAGACATATCATTGTCTTACACCCCATTCTTTTTTTGCATATTTGCTGAATTTTTTTTTTTATCCGTACAAGAGTCAAATCAGAAAATAAATTATTGCTGACTCGTAACAGACTCGCCTACGTCACGGCCTTGATAGGTTTCATAATAGTTTAGGATATTTCCCAACCTCTTTTCCACTGACAATCATTTATCTGCCATGCGTGATACACGCTATGGCGATCATGTATCTTTCGATACATGACTGACGAGCCAGATTTTTCCGCAATAAGTTGCCATTTCTTTCTGCGGTAGACCAGTTGCCATCCAGGGTTATAGAAACAAAACTGTCTTGCTGTTTACCCATAGCTAGGTATAGCTTTATATTTTTTCCCAAGGGTATTAGCACGTAAGTAAATGTAATGTAATGGAATTCGAACTCGGCTCTCCGATTCCTCAATCCGAGCCGCTATCTATTACTCCATTCCTCCGTAGACGTAACATCGGAAAACTTATCAAAAAACTTATCTATCGCTATTTCCATAGTAAATTGTAAAATATATATTTGTTCTCGTTGGAACAACTATAATCTCTGTCTCTTATATATATATATATATATATATATATATATATATATATATATATATATATATATATATATATATATATATATATAAATAAATAAATAAATAAAAAAAAAAAAAGAAAGAAAAGAAAAGAGAAGACAATTTTATGTTTATACGTTCTTTTTATAGATACAAATATTTAAGTAAATGCTCTGCTTTTAATAAACAGTATTTACCGGCCTGAATATCCGAGAAATTTTCATAGAAAATATTCGTCCTCAGACAGAAATCGAACCTGCATCCTATACGGAACCGTCATATAGCCTGACGTGCTTTTACCGATTGAGCCACAGAGGAGCGTTTCGGTTAGCAAGGTCGATTTTACTGTTTTTAAACTACAATCTTCCATGATTTTCCCACGTACATTCATATCTGCTCAATGCGTATCCAAATGTAAAGAAATGACGTCACTCATTATGAAATGGTCAAAGTCCGACTTATTTTATGACATTTTTCTTTTTATACATTCTTATTTTTATAGATACAAAAATTTAAGTAAATGCTCTGTTTATAGGAAACATTATTAACAGCATTTATCGACCTGAATGTCCGAGAAATTTTCATAGAGAAAATTCGTCCTCCGACAGGAATCGAACGTGGATCCTATACGGAACCGTCATATAGCCTGACGTGCTTTTACCGATTGAAGGCTGATTTCACTGTTTTTTAACTACAATTTTGCATGATTTTCCCACGTACATTCATATCTGCTCGATGCGTATCCAAATGTAAAGAAATGACATCACTCATTATGAAATGCACAAAGTCCGACAATTATTTTAAAACATTTTGATGTTTAAACATTCTTTTTATAGATACAAATATTTAAGTGAAGTAAATGTTGTTAATACTTTTTATTATACACAGAGCATTTACTTAAATATTTCTATATATTTAAAAATTCGTTATAAAATATAAAATGTTTTAAATTATCAAACTTTTTATCTATTTCATTTATATATATATATATATATATATATATATATATATATATATATATATATATATACACACACACACACACACACACACACACACATATATATATATATATATACACACACAAACACACACACACACATCTTATCTCCGTAACGGAATAAATACAGTTCGTGATGGCCTTTGTTTATGTTAAGATACGCTTCGAGCAGATATGGACGTTCGAGGGAAATCATGAGAAATTTGTAGTTTAAAAGCTTGTCTCACTAGATCAATTACGACATTATAATCACAAACGTTTGCGGTGTCTTCTGTCTTTAAAATATTTAAACAACTATAATCTCTCCAACCACCCCCAACACCTTGAAAATGTCGGACAGTTTAGCGAAAAGCGCTTGAAAACGAACTGTCATTTTTTATACTAATTATACCCAAATGAAAGCTCTTTTTGCACAAAGCAAGGAAATAAAATCACTAAGACGCAAGAGGTTACTGAGTGCAAGTGTATATGAGAAATAGAAAAGCATGATTAAGGGGAGAGGACAATAAAAGTATTGCAATTAAGAAGACAGAAGATAACGATTGACATTGCATTTAAGTTTTTGAAGATCAAAGGCAATAAAGCCACTAAGATGCAAGGGGTTACTGAATCTTACAGACTATGAGAAAAATTACAATTAAGGAGGGAAAACAAAAAAAAAGAACGAGAATTAAGAAGACAGAAGATAACGATTGACATTGCATTTCAATTATTCAAGACCAAAGGCAATAAAGCCACTAAGATGCAAGGGGTTACTGAATGTTAGAGAATATGAGAAAAATCACTATTAAGGAAAGAGGAAAATAAAAGAACAAGAATTAAGAAGACAGGAGATAACGATTGGCATTGCATTTAAGTTTTTGAAGATCAAAGACAATAAAGTCACTAGGATGCGAAGGGGTTACTGAGTGTTAGAGAATATGAGGAAAAATTACTATTAAGGAGAGAGAACAATAAAAGAACAAAAATTAAGAAGACATAAGATAACGATTGGCATTGTATTTCAATTTTTGAAGATTAATGTTGACGGGAAACAAGAATCCGGAAGAAAG